TAACAGATCCGGAGGTAGACCTTCTACTAAAGTGGAGTCACCACCATATACTGAAAAAGAAGGTAGCAGCTACAGAATCCAGTTGATAACAAGAAGTCTCACTTTACTGGCTGGGAGTTCTACTTTCTACAATCGAGCATAAGCCCTCTTCTACTTGCCTTTCTCCCGTAGTAGCTTCACGTCCTCCCTTTCCTTTTGTATGGTACTAAAACGGAAAAGTGGATGCCCAGATATTGAGGAGTTCTTCCTTCAGATAGAAGCTGGTAATCCAAGCTATCTTGGAGTTTTCTTTTTCAAAAAAAAAGAAAAAGCGTCCCCCGCGAAAGTCAAAAAGGAAGAGCCTAAAATCATGCCCTTTTTCGAGCTTTCTGATAGCCCCTTTCTCGTATTTCAACCCTTACTAAATTAGCAGGGATGTCTCCATGCAGGCGCTAGGAGGGATGTCTCGCTCATCAGCCAGCTCGACGGTTCTATCAGTCAGTCAGAAAGAGAGATAAGTAACGGTAATGGTAGGCCTTACGGAGGTGTTAGGTGGAGGCGTTGATGCTGTACGTGCTGTTGTCGATGATAGTAAGGTGTTGCTGCTTTCTTAGAATCAGTAGCTCAGCCTGCCAATAACGAATTGTTTCGAGTCACGAATAGGAAATCAAGGGAGGTAAGCAGCTCATCAAATAGCAGAATTCTTGGTTTCTTTATGAAATGACTTCGACGAAGGCGATATAGCTAGTGAGTCCATACGTCTTTTGCCCTGGCATTTCGAAACGGCTTTTGCTATGGAATTGAGAAGATCGGCTCAAGATCACGCTGAACAGCAAAGGAATCACAGCAATCAAGCCCGCTTCTTTTTGAGTTATCCAATTAATTGAACCAAGCGGGACAAAAGCAAAGAGCTAGTATGAGTCTCCTGCTCTTAAAAGGTGTGGATTAGCTGCTCCGACCTTGAATCGTATCTCGGCCGGTTAACGATGCTAGTAACTCAAATCTAGGACTAGGAAGAAGAGCCAGGAAGAGACCTCTTTCTTGTTCTGTTGTTCGAGGAATTGCTTCAAGGGAAGGAAAGGAAGCAGGGAAGCTAGCTATTGAGTTTCCAACTTTTGGGCGGATAGCATTAATAAGAAGTCGTTAGACCGACCGATTCTTCGAATTAGGAATTCGATACATTGATTATAGCGACTTCTGATAGCAATTCACTAGTGCCAAGGAGCGGGTATCGAGAATCAGGGGAACAGCTAGAAAAGGGAAGAAATCCGCCTAGACTGGAGGGTTCTGTCTTCGAGTTCATCTCGGTTCTTGTTTGAGATTATAGTAGCGACTGCTGTACTTTCCATTCCAGATTTCCTATCCAATGAACGACTGACGGTTCTTTGATGCTGTCTTAGTAACAGAAAACTCGCTTTCCGGCTGCCTTCCATCCCGGCTAAGCAACCCCTCGAAGAGCGGCTGAGGCTAGTCCTACCTGTTCTTCGGTCGAGTTACAGAAAGTCAACCCCCGATTGTCGATAATGACATGTGAGAAATGCGGTGATATCCGCTGCCTGCGCCCATTGATTTCCATCCCGATGTACATATTTTATTGTTTGGGTTAGCAACAACCCCTCGAAAGACAGGAAAAGCATCTGTTCCCTAACGAGTCCCGTATTCGAGCTCGTTTCGATCGTTCTTGCTTTTGTGTTTTCGTAGCTCATGTTGATAATTCCTTAGAATCAGTTCCGGATGCCTTAGAAGAATCAACCTAGAGAATGACCGGTTATTAATGCGGGTATTGCTTTTGAGACAGATTTCCTATCCAATTAGGCACTTCCTTTGCTTTTAGATCTGAGTTTCAACCATAAGGGTATCCTAAACCTTGCATGTTTTTTAAACTTGTTCAATTCCTTGGATAGATCCCGGTATCTGTGGACAGAGAAGGAAAAGGAATGCCTCTGGTTCTCCCGCCAAGTATCCAACTTTAGCCCTCACTCTCTTAATTATGAGTTACTCTTTGAACCCCGGGGAGGTGGTAAATCCCAAACCACATGCTGAGGCTACGGGTTGAACCAGGAGAAGCATTCACCTAAGGATGGATAAAACACATCCTGCCTGCAGGATACCACGTCCAACCTGCCAGGTTCCCTATGACTATGAAGTAAGGTATAGGTTGTTTCCAACAACAACCAGAGAGACTTCATTTCTGGGGAAGAACATTGAGTCTTCCGAATAGCAACCTATAAAAAGAAAAAAATTGAAAACTTGAAATGATGAGTTCAGTTAAGAATCTCTTTTCCGCATTAACTGGTAGTAAATATAGTCATTCAAATCTCTCTGTTAGAAAACATCAGCGGTTTCGGCATTGGTAAGCATTCCTTTAGCAAGCCCCGTAGCTCGAAAGAAAGAAAAAAAGCTGGCAAGGGACTCACTTATGAAACATAGTTGAAAGATGTTTTTATTTTGGATCATTGTTAAGTGGTAAGGATAATGACAAGCTGGCTCTCGGAAGTAACTACAGCGTACATGTATGATGAGAATGACAATAAAAAAATAAAATAAAGAAAATGGCTAACAATATGAAAATGTTTCAAGATCTAATGTATAGTACTACATCTTTTGAAAAGAAAGAAATATTCTACCGGTAATAACCAATGAAGACTTGGGCCTATCAAGCCTGCTTTCCTCGATGAAAGCCCACAGAAGGGCCAAAAACTTAAACCCATCATCAAAGCAAGCCCAAGTCTTCATTTGTAGGACTTTCTTTGATGGTTCATGTAAGCTTGGGTCTTTCATTCGGGCCCTCTTGGGGCACCCTGTGGGCCAATGCGTATAAGCTTGGGCTTTATTAACGTGGCTCATTTGACGACTCAGTACATGGATGTCACGAGTCCATTGGCATAGAATATGGAATCTTTTCCACGTAAGCTGGTTGTACAAAGCTTGTTTGTTCATATAGGCAGTGTGATTTGGGGATCTTTTGTTTGCTCCGCAAGGTAGCCAGAGCCAGCCAGTTTTTCACTAAATAGGCATAAGAGTATTTGAACTGCAGAAAAGTAGTGCGGAGAACTAGTCAGAATTGGGCCTGCCATCCAATTCGTGACGTGGATGATCCGCCGAATCCATTGCTGACTTCACCACGATCGATTAGGTGAAACGGTTCTGCAAAGTTTGTTTGTTCATACAGGCAGCGTGGTTATAGTAGTTGCCAGCCATGCAATTCGTACTGCATGGCGAGATTCCTCTACCACTCTATAAATGGAGGCTCGATAAGTGTCTTCACTTCATCAAATTCAAATCAAAGAAATTGAGTACTTGCACGTATGGCTATGGATGCTGCAAACAGGCTTTCTGCAATTGCTGCCGAAATGGGGCAACTGCAAAATGAGATTGAAGAGCGCCGTAGAGTGCTAAACCTCTTTTTTAGGAGTGTGAGAACACTGGATCCCACCTGGAAAGAAGCGCGCATTCGCGCTGCCAGAGAGCGTATCGAGGATTTGGAGGGGAGGCAGCAAGCGCTGCGGGCGGAGCAGCAAGCACTCATAGTGCAGGCTGTCACCCACGGGCACCGGGGAGACTAGAAGAGTCCGTCGACTCTTTTTCTTTTTAGAAGGTTTCAATAAGTGTCTGTAGACGCAAAGTAGGGTGTTTTAATGCATTTCTTTGGCTTTGTTTAGTAGAGATCTACTCCGATGCTTACTGGAGTCCTATTTATGCTAACTATCTTAGTTTGGTTTTCTTTTGTATGTTTGCATGTATGGGAACCCTAGTAAAAAATGTTTACTACTTATGCTTTTAGAAAAAGAAAGACTTCTTCGTGCTGAAAATTGAGTTCTTTCCTTTTTTTCTTTCTATAGTGGAGATAGTCGCACGTAATGACAGACATATTATGAAATTGTGGTAAGAACGGGTTTCGTTCTAGTGCCCGATAAGAATATTCCAAAGCTTTTGTATGTTATCCGTTACAGATACAGAACCGTACGTGAGATTTTCATCTCATACGGCTCCTCCCTTATGTGCATAATGAAAAGCAAATCATATATCTAATAAATAATAAGAAGCTTTCAATATTCTAATTATAAATTTAGTGGTAGTGGGGCTAGTGTTTTTACAAGAAATCTCTAGCCTGCGAAAGATCTTTTTCTTTTTTTTAGTATCAAGCTGTTGATACTAGATAAAAGGTAACTCCAAAAATTGATTTGTCCCCAACGCCCCTTAATTTAAAGGAATTATAAACTTAAAAAGTTTTTTATGGTTCTACGGGTATCCAAAGTACGAACGAGATGGATGTTTGTTGTCCCAACCATTCTTTTGAATCCCGATCCCGATAAGGAAAGGGGGTAATTTCTAACAAAGTTTTAGTTTTTTCCTAGGCGTAGTGCTTCTTTTCTTCTTCTTCTATGCCGCCTATTGGTACTAGTGCAGTAGAGTTGGCCTACAATAAATAATCCATAGGTGTAACCTCAATACTAAAATCGACAATTGAAGCATCTAAGGCTGCATTAATCGGGAATACACGACAGAAGGTTTATTTACAAACCTCCCTGAAACTGAAACAAACTATCAACCAGGGCTGAATCCTCAAATAAGAAAGGAAGAAGGAGAATCAACTGATACAGGTAGGTGATTTGGTATATAACCAAAGGAAGAGCAGAGGGAAAAAACTCCTTTGCCAAAGAATCTTTTCATCCTAATTGTTTTCTTCGGTTCGTATTGTTGAATCGAAAGCAAGATTGACTGCGAACTCACTCAAGGGTTATAGGTTTTCTAATTGTTTCCTGCCCTGTGCTTTCCCGTCCTTCCTTTGAATCGATGGCATAATCAGTCTAGTACTGACGCGTGGTCTTACAAAAGCCTATGTGACTGACTTGCCATTGCCAACCGTACGCCGCGTCCTGATCCTCACGTAGCCGTAGGTCTCTCGTTCCTTTTCTCACTCGTCGATGGAACCTCACCCTCAGGCTCCAAAATAGTCGTTCTTACGCTTCCGGGGGTCTCCCTCTCTACAGTGGGGTTCTGTTTGAAGTTATGATTTAGACAACGAGTCATAGGTCTTTCTTTTATTCCCTTGGCTATTAATCACCAAGAAAAAGGCTATTCATTAGCAACAAAAAGAGTAAGACAGGGCGCAGCACTCCTGCAGTTAGAAGAAGAGCGCGGCCGCATGAAAGATTGACTGTGATGCTACGTGCATACACTGATCACTACGGAGAAGAGAAAAGATGTCATAAAGCATAGGGGAAAGCAAACATCGGCTTCCCCAAAAAACCATTGATTGGGATCGATATAACAGAGTGTGCTCGATAGTCATCACTATTATGTCCCCGAATGGAATGTATGTCACCTTTTTTCTTTCCCTTTTAGACCAACCTGCCGCGTATAGTTTAGTCGTCTCTCGAGGGTTGATTCTCCAGTTTCGGATGCGGGAAGAAGCCCTAATCTTCGAGTCAGGAGATACCTTGAGAACAGTGAAAGCAGAATC